ATCAAAGAAGAACAAGAATAAGAATAAATGTGACTATGTTAGAACAAGAAATTTGGAAAGTAATGAAATAAAGTAATATTGCTCTCAATATATATGTATAGTAAAGCTTAATTTAAAATGAATGTGGAATGGCTGGGGAGATAGCTCAGTGGAATAATCACCTGCCTGGCAAGCGCAAAGTCCTGAGGTCAATCCCCAGTACAATAACTAACTAACTAAATAAATAAATATTGGCCCTATCCCTTCAAGGTCAGTGAGGACTCAGGACACAAGAGAACCTATACTGTAACATCCTGTAACTCAGTGATGTCCCAAATTTTCTGTTCAAGGAGATTATAGGGCCACAGAGGAAAGTGATCAATGATGTAGAGTATGCCTAAGGAAAGTCACCTAGAGAAAAAACATTTTCTCAGGCTTTCACAGAGAAAAAAAATTGGTCAAGTGGGCTGGGGAGATAGCTCAGTAGAATAAGTGCCTGGCAAGTGCAAGGTCCTGAGTTCAATCCCCAGTACTGAAAAAAAAAAATTGGTCAAGCAATGGCCATGACTCATCCACATGGCTGACACTGACAAAAGATCTACAAACTGCGGTGCACGGTTTCAGGGTAAATTCTGAGGGGATTTGACTGACCTTCTCAGATACAAAAGTTACATTTTTTGTTATATAGGTCTTGCCTTATCTTGGTCTTAACCATCCAGCAGAAAAGTATAAACACGATTAGTAAAAAGTAAAGCCATATTAATATGTTGAGCTGTAAAGGGCTCAAGTCAACAACTTGTGACATTGCTAGTTCTGCCGATAACCCACTACTATTAAGGACTAATGGACTATATTGGATTACTTTGCTGGATTCATACACCTACAATATTTGAATGGCAATGGAATACCCATCTCTGACAAAACTAAAAGCAAAATGGGATATAAATAAAGGACCATTTTATAGTGAAAAAAATATATATATGTCTGTACATAGAAAATAGAATATATATACAGCTACTTTCTCTTAGTTCAATAAGAAGAAAGATTTGTACTAATAGTGTGTAGACAAGATATCATGTCTATATCTTGTATTATGAATAACTACTATGAAGACAACAATATATAATGTATTAATTATTGTAACTATGCTACTTACCTGTTTTGAAACTCTCTTGTTGCTATTTCTTGCTTTATAAAATTGATTTAAAATAAAATAAAATGAATGTGGAGCTTGTGAACAAAATGAACCAGAATACAGGTGTTTGCATGAAGTGTGCAGTTAATGCTCATGCCCTTAGAGGTTATAAATGTAACTTTGCCTCCTCACTTGAAACCCTGAGTTTTCCCATTGCAAGGACCTGATTCACTCCTTGAGGTCAGACCCTGGCGTGCTAATCAGCCCTGACATAGGCTCGTCTTTGGTCTTTATCAGTCTTCCTCAGTGGGTCAGTGTTATGAAGACTGGAAGAGCTGGGGAGAGTTCCTCCCCCTCCCAGTCCGCTATCAAAGAGCAACAGGGGCCGTGACAGAAAGCAAACATTCAGGCCAAAGTCACATGTGGAACTGAAGCAGCAAAAGGAAACACAAGAACCTCAGGTAAAAATAAAAATTTGAAATCATATTTATTGTAGTTGCAGTTCTGTCTGAGAGCATGAGGTGCTTATTGCTGTTAGTAAGTAACTTGTAAAATAGAATCAAATGTAAAATTCTGGGAAGTGTAGGAAGGATGCTAGAATCTCAGAACACTTTCTTGTGTTAAGGGTGTTATCAAGCTCTGAGTAGCATCAGTGACACTTGGGAATCATGAGACTGTGGGGTCTGCAGGTTCACAATCAGAATTGTGTTGTGGGTCTCATTACTGTGAAAGTTATGGGAATACAAATTGTAGCTGAAAATAAGTCATTTCTAATAACAACATAAAAACAGAATGAAGTGCAAGGTCCTGAGTTCAATCCCTGGTACAAAACCCCAAAACCAAACCAAAACAAACAAAAAAAATTACAAAACAGAAGGAACATTTTAAAAAGAACATCCATAAAATATGATGGACTACTTTTTAAAAGAATGGATTACTAGCTGTTGGAAAATAGAATGCAGTACATTTCTTTTTTACCATGAATTTTTTTTTTCGGGAATCAGGGATTGAACTCAGGCCCTTGTGCTTGCCAGGCAGACACTTACTCTACTGAGCCATCTCCCTGGCCCCAGTGAGAACGTGAGCCTTCAGGGAAAAGTTTCCTTTTCTCTAGACTTTCAAAAACGTCTGACAGATTTTGTCAGGATTTAAAAGGGAAAAACACATTCTTTCAGCTGAATAATACTACATTTAACTTAGACATTATGACTTTTTTGAATGTTAAAAATGGAAGCTGCTGGGAGTCACATTTATTATTTGTAGCCCTAATGTCTAAGTAGGAAAATATCTTTTATAAACTGTAACAGAGCTTTCACTTGAAAATAAAACACTCTGAAATTCATAAAATTATACCCATATTCAACAGCTTTACAAGTTAGAATGGGCTACTTTTTATTTATTTATTTATTTCTGTGTTTTTAGGGAAGGGCCTACAGGGTGTTCAGGGTCTCACTACTAGATCAGACTTGTAAAGATCCACCTGTTTACAGCCTCTAAAAGAGCTTCGAGAGCTCCCAGTCTCAATTGCCACCCCAGTGCGCCCCGGGGGCAGGCTGGCACAGCAGGCCTGGGATCAAACCCTGGATCCCTGTGCCTGTTTGCAGGCGCTTTAATCTACTGAGCTATTTGGTTGGCTCTTGGACTACTTTAAAAGATAGTATACTACTAGTCACTGGAAATGTTCATTACTTGGGAACTGGGAGTATTATAGAAAAGATTTAAAAATTGGATGGATGGTTGGACTAGAAGATTTGCAAAGTCCCTTTCAACCTTTGTGTGATTCTATGATGTAAATATGATGTTAAAAGAAGTCTCCTTGAAGAGCCATAAAGTATCACATTTTTGTGTACATGTGGGAGAGGCTCAGAGACAAAAATAGTTCCTTGGGTAGATCCTGTTTTATTGAAGGAAGTGAGAAGGTAGTCAAGAGCAAACTAATGTCAGAGGAGGTTACATGTTTTGTTAGGTGCCTGCTATTCCTTCTGAGGATAAACAACATCCACAGGGACCTTGCTCTGCAAATGTCACACAAGACAATGACAGGTGGTCTTCTCCAGGGAAAGACCTCTGGCTTGTATTAGTAAATATTTGTTTTGTGACTAGTCAAAACCAAAGGGATCCTTCATGAAACATTTGCTTCAGACCTCAAATTTCAATGCAGAATGAGCATTGGCGAGTTTAATGACCATGCCCCGAAGGCTCATGTTCTCAGGTGTTAGAGATTCCCGTAGCACAGGCTATTAGAAAGGAAGGAACATCCCTACTTCCTCATCACACTAAGGAACAAAAAATACATTTTTGAATTTATAAGAATGTATGGGGGCCAGGGAGATAGCTCAGTGACATAGCACCTGCCTGGCAAGTACAAGGGCCTGAGTTCGATTCGGGTACCAAAAAATAAAAAATAAAAAATAAAAAGCCATTGTTATTGTCTTTGCAGTTTCAAAGGTGGGGTAGAAACTCTTAAAAACGGCGACCCGCTCAGGTCTCCTTTCTGTCCCTCTCCCGGACAGGAGCTTTCTTTCCTTCAATAAATATTCCGCTCTTAAAAAAAAAAAAAAAAAAAGAACGTATAAAGAACTAAAAGAGACTTCTGCATTTGGTATCCATTGACATTTCAGGAGTAGAATAAGCCTTTTTTGTTTGTTTGTTTGTTTGTTTTAGAACATTTCCCGTTACTGTGACATTTTAGCTACAAAAAAGTTGGAGAAAGCTCCACACATACACACAGATAAACTATATAGTCCTCACACTCCATAGATCTTCATGACAGTCATTATCTAAAAACATCATAGAGATATTTCCAGAATAGATAATGTACACATTTGAAAGGGGTTCAGTTGTGTTTACTTTTATTCTAGTTTTTGTAGGTAGATTTCTCTTCAAATAGGGCTTTTAAAATGCATGGCAAAAAATGCATGACAAGTGCATTAAAATACAAAAATATATATTTTATTTAGTAATTAAAATTTTATTTTTATTAATACATGCTTGTGGCACCTAATGAAGGCAAATTCTTTGTAGATGGCATCTCTCTCACTTATCTCTGACCATCCTGCTTTTTTAAGGTCAAGTAGAATCTGGTTCCTCTCTTCTGTCTTCAACAGCTGAGAATCTGAGGACTTGGCCGCCAGACTCCAGCTCTGTGGCACCTAATGATTACATTAATCATATGAACTGGGGACATGCATGTACCTAACACATCTTAATTCTTTCTACATCTTCCTCCCCCTTTTATAACTTTTATTAGTACACGTTTATAGTACATAATGGTTACATTTTTTGCAAAATTGTATATTTTGGGGGCGGGGAGATGGCTCAGTGGAATAAACACTTGCCTGGAAAGCACAAGGGCCTGAGTTCAATCCCTGGTCCTGCAAAAAAAAAAAAAAAAAAAAGTATATTTTAATATCAAGTCCTGCAATACATGTATGTCTAGTTCTCTACTGTTCTTTCATTCTTCTCTGAATTGTAAACAGCACTTCCTTGATTTCAACTTCATTTCTTCATATTCTGTAGTAATGTACTTGGGCACCTCACCAACCCATGCCCTTTGCAGCTGAGCTCGGTGTTGTTGTTTCCTGATTTTAGGCGAAAATAGCTGACAATTTCAGCAATGTAATTTTTCATTATGGCTAAATGTTAGTAATTCACTTGTATCTGTGCTCGTGCTTATGAAAAAGGCCAGGGATATTTGGCAATGTCGTTAGGAAACAGTAATATCAACTACTATTTCCAATGTTAAAATATATCTCTAATAACTTACAGTTTTAAAGGAAATATTGCCTTGTCTGAAATTCCCACTAACGCAAAAACAGCATTTCTCTCTTGATTATTCACAGGAGCACCGTGGTTCTGCTCCCTGGGGCCCAGAGGGACTGCTGAGATGGACAGTTGCAGGACCACTTCAGAAACGGTCTATGCTGAGATCATCGTCAATGTGGGCAAGGTGACTTTTGGAGAGGAAAACAGGGAGAAGATGAACAATGGCTCTTTGAAGAGAACTCAGAACTCAGAACTCATCCAGGCTACCTGTGCACTGCTAAATTCTGGAGGGGGTGTGATCAAGGCAGAGATTGATGACCAAACCTACAGTTACACATGCCATGGGCTGGGGCAGGATTTGGAAACTTCATTCCAAAAACTTCTTCCTTCAGGTTCACAGAAACACCTGGACTATGTGCAGCGGGGGCGTGACTTCCTGATTTTTGTTAAGTCATGGAGTCCAGATGTTTTCAACCTCCCACTCAGAATTTGCAGCTTGCGTTCCAATTTATATCAGAGAGATGTCACCTCTGCTATCAACCTGAGTGCCAGCAGTGCCTTGGAGCTTTTGAGAGAGAAGGCACATAGAGCCCAAAGAGGTAGACCAAAGTTGCATCCTCAGAACATTCTCAAAAAATATGTTCAGGGAGATGAAGATATTAAGATGTGCGCCTTGAAATTTTTTAAAAAGGATAAACTCACATATAAGGAGAAGCTCAACTTTACAGAATCAACACATGTCGAGTTTAAAAGGTTCACTACCAAAAAGGTCATGCCTCGGATTAAAGAGACACTACCTCGTTACGTTTCTGCTTTTGCCAACACTCAAGGGGGATACCTAATTATCGGGGTTGATGGTAAGAGCAAAGAAGTGTTTGGCTGTAAGAGAGAAAAAATAAACCCCGAATTATTAAAAAAGGAAATAGAAAGCTGTATAGAAAAGTTGCCTACATTTCACTTCTGTTGCGAGAAGCCCAAGGTGAATTTCACTACCAAGATCTTGAACGTGTATAAAGAAGATACCCTGTATGGCTATGTCTGCATGGTTCAAGTAGAGCCCTTCTGTTGTGCAGTGTTTGCAGAGGCCCCGGATTCCTGGATCATGAGGGACAAATCTGTCAGCAGGCTGACTGCTGAGCAGTGGGTAGTCATGATGCTGGACATTCAGTCAGGTAAAGAGGGGGTAAGTCGTCCGATTGGCAGAGAGGAGCTCGATTCTCTTTTGTGGGTATTCAGACATATATTTGAGGTAAAAATAGAACTTGTTCTTGTTTATGAAAGTTCTCCCATGATAGGGAAGTAATATTTTTAACTGCAAAAACTCAGAGCCTGAACTCTTTGATGTCAAGATATGCTTAGGTTTTAATCTGTTTTGTTTGTTTGCTTCTTTGTTTGAGACAGGGTCTTGTTACCTAGGAGTTCAGGCTGGCCTTGAACACACTATATAGTCTAGGCTGTCCTTAAACTCAGTGATCCTTCTGCCTCAGTCTGCCAAATGCTGGGATTATAGGCGTGTGTCACCACACTTAACTATTTCAGTCTGTTTTGGGAAAGTTGTAGTACATATCAGCCATGAATCTGTGAAAGGTTTTTTTTTTTTCTTTTTTCCAGAACTGGGGATTGAACTCAGGCCCTTACACTTGCCAAGGAAGTACTTATTCCACTGAGCCATCTCCCTGGCCCCAAAAGGTTTTTTTTTGTTTGTTTGTTTTTGTTTTTGTTTTTGTTTTTTCTTTTCTTTTCTTTCTTTCTTTCTTTCTTTTTTTTTTTTTTGGTGACTTCTTCAACTAAGCTATCTCCTTAGCTGATATTTTAAAAAATGTACTGTAAGAACCTGTTGAAAAAGTTTCCAGGTTGATTTGTTTTCTTTTTTTCTTTCTTTCTTTTTTTTTAAGAATCGGGGATTGAACTCAGGCCCTTGCACTTGCCAGGCAAGCACTTATTCTATTGAGCCATCTCCCCGGCTCCTCTTTCTTTTTTTAAAATCTGATTTTTTTTTGTGGTACTAGGGATTGAACTTGAGACTTTACACTTGCTGGACAGGAGACTATGTCACTGAGCTATATTCCTGGCCCTACCAGGCTGATTCTCTTAGTCTAAATAGAAAGTCTCACTCCAAAGATGATCTTCAGAGAAAGACCGTTTAAGAATGATTCTGCAGTAACTCTTTCAAGGGATACATTTTTACATATTTGAACTGTTTTAGTAATATTAGGAGTGAATGTCTTTATCACTGGGCTGGGGAAATGATGGAAAAGGTGACACCATGCTAGGGGACGGCAAGTGGGAGAAGGGAGGACCTAGGGTTTCTACTTTCTTCAGAGTTTTGCTTGGAATTGGCCTTGTGATTCCTAATCAATTTGTAAAAGCCTTATAGAATGAGCTAGGTTTATGAGCTTGCCTTTACTTGCCTTCTTTCTATAAAAGAAGCCTGGATCATTAGATCAAGGCCAGAATGATTAGAACATTTTATTTTCTTTTTCTTGTCCTAAATTTTGTCCTAAATTTCTCCTATCCCCAAACTAGAGATTCTACTTTTTTTTTTGGATCTGGAATCAAACTCATGACTTTGCACTTGCCAGGCGGGCGCTGTGCCATTGAGCTGTATCTCTAGCCCTCATGCTAGAGATTCTGTGATGTTCCTTTCCTTCTCTCCTTGGATAGAGATCATGTAGCAGCAGATGAGAGTGAAGATAAGCTAAGGAACAAGAAAGCTTCTGGGTCCAGGCTCCCAAAATGTGAGTCCTCTTTGGACTTTTCCTTTTGGTTATGTATATTTCAGGTTTCCATAGTAACCACATTATCTCATTTTCACACAATTGCCACAGATAGGCAATTTCCCAGACACTGTGACCATCTGCTCATCCTAGGACATCGTGGATGTTCAATGTTTTCCCTATTCCTCAAATTGTTCCTCCTTTGTGACCCAGGTTTTCTCTAAGTGGGTTTGTGGTTAGCTACATGTAGGGGTTCAGAGAGTAAGTTTATCTATTCCTTAAAATGGAATTTCTTCTGCCTCATCAATTAAACCATAACTTTGAAAATAAAAACAGCATGTGTCTCATCTTTCTCACCTCCACAAGATGGCTTTTCCTCTTAGAGATGAGCTGTATTAAGATACTAGTGCTGGAAGGGAATCTAGAGATTATCATTTCACTTTTGTGTGAGAGATGAAATGACTTGCTCAAGAGGAGTCATACAGGGGGTTAAAGCACATGTGACCCCTGCAGCAGCCGCCACCCTTCATTTCCTGTTGTGCAAATTGAGGTACAGCAAGTGAGACAGCAACTCAGACACCGTACGCATCTCATGTCTCTGGCAGAAGAGCAGTAAAGTGTCCCTTTACTTTTATTTTTGTCTAAAACAACTTTCCATGAAATTGTTCAGCTCCTTCTAGTCTGGCCCCAAACGACAGTGCTCAACTGCTTTCATCGGCTTTATCTTCACCAGGAAGTCCAGGACACTCCATGAAAGTCATGGAATTTAAAGGGGCTCTGCAAAAACGTTTATTTCCAGGTATTACTTCTTGATTTCCATTGAGGGGACTATTTACTTTGTAAAGCTAAGTTGTGGGCTGGAGGTGTGACTCATTGATAGAACGTTTGAGTAGCCTATGCAAAGCCCTGGGTTCAATCCTCAAGACTGAGAAAAAACAAAAGCTTTTGAAGAATTGGTATTTCTTCTTAAAGAAAGTCAAACATAAAACTTAGCAGACATCTTGGAAAAAATATATTTCTTATTTTTTCAGTTACCCAATCTCCCCTGTACCTCTGGACTTTTAGACTTCAGGTCACATCTAGCTTTTGCTCTCCAAATTTGAGAGCACTGGCTATCCTTTGGCTCTGTGCTGAGAGAGAATTGCCACTTGGCTTTCAATGCAGAAGGTGCTATGGAGTCACCTGAGCCCCTTCTAAAGTGGAGTTTTCTAACCTCAGAGCTACTGACATTTGAGTCACGTGATCCTTTGGGAGAAGGGGGCGTGCCCCATGCATTGCAGGATTCTTAGGGGCATTTTTAGCCACTACCCACTACATATCAGTAGCATCTGCCTAGTTGTAACTAAAATTCTCCAGGCTTTGTCAAATGTCGTCTAGGCAGGGGACAGCCTCTGGGGAAGAATTACTATCATCAGGGACGGTTCTTAGTTTTCCACGTTGCTTCAGGCTCACCAAATAACAGGAAGGAGTGCCTTCCCAGCACTGGTGGCCCTGGGGTGCTGAAAAGGTGGTAGGAGGCTGGTTTTTTTTTTTATTTTTTTTTTTATTTATTTTTTTTTTTGCAGAACCGGGGATTGAACTCAGACCCTTAGCGTTTATTCTACTAAACCATCTCCCCAGCCCCGGAGGCTGTTCTTCGATAGGCCCTCTTGGTAGCTTTCCTCTGGGATAGAACTGTCAGAAATAAAAACTAATCACATCCCTAGGCTGTGAAGAGGGATTATTCTCTTTACAAGTAGGAAATCTGGGCTGAGGATATAGCTCAGTGGCATAAGCACTTGCCTGGTAAGCGCAAGGTTCTGAGTTTGATTCCTGGTTTAAAAAAAAAAAAAAAGAAAACCCCTCTTCTTGCCTAGATGTAGAAAAGTACCTTATACTTTTTTTAAGTTTTGGTAACTTCTCTTGCTTACATTTTCAGTGACACAGGAAGAAATATATTTTAAGCCAGAATCCCTCTGTAAGAAGCTGTTCTCAGATCATAAGGAACTGAAAGAATTGATGAAGGAACAGATACAGCCTTGTTCTCAGGGGACTGTGATATTTTCTAGAAGCTGGGCTGGTGATATTGGTTCTAGGAAAGAGCAGAAGGTTCTGTGTGATGCTCTCCTGATAGCAGTTCACAGCCCCCTGGTACTCTACACAATCGTAACGGATCCCAGTTGGACTGGAGGACTTGGATATGCCCGAGACACTGCTTTTCAACTAAAGCAGAAACTGCCAAGTGTTGGTGGCTACACAGGGAAGGTGTGCGTCGTTCCGAGGCTGCTGCACCTGACAGGCACACAGCACAGACCTGCGGAAAATCTCATGCTCTATCCTCAGTCCTACAGCCTTGCCAGTGCAGATGCAATGGAGGACTTGGTACAGGCCCTCATGGTCGTCTCCCTGTGCTTGCAGTCTCTTCTGAGTGACCAGCTGGGTTGTGAGTTTTTCAACCTGCTTGTGGCAGAGCAGTGTGAACTGCTGTCCAAGAACCTTCAGGAAACCCGGGAATTGTTCATCCACTGCTTGCCAGGAACCAGGAGGACAGCGCTAGCCATAAGGATCATAGAGAAAATTAAGGACATGTTTCATTGCCAGCCGGAAGAGATTCTCTATGTCTGTGAAAGTGACTCCTTGCAGGATTTTGTGAGGTAAGAATTTTTTCATCTAAGTTTTAAAAAATTTGTATTTAGTCTTTTTGATAATGTCACAGAAGTAACTTGTGTTTTCAGTTTGGGTCTACCTGATACCTCTTTGCCGCATAAGAACAAGAGCCCTGCCTGGGAAGCACAGGGGCCTGAGTTCAATCCTCGGTTCCACCAAAAAAAAAAAAAAAGAACAAGAGCCCTAACCAAATATGTATTTCCAAATGATCAACTACTTGAGGTACAAACGGGCAATTTATAATGTTTGAGCTTAAACTTTCATTATAAATAAACCAAATAAGCATAAATTTAAATTTATAAAGCCAAGAGTATTTCCCCCACAATCCATGGCTTGAATTCAAACACAATTTATTTATTTACTTTTTTTTTTTTTTTTTTGATGGGACCAGTGCGCAAACTCAGGTCCTTGCGCTTCACTGAGCTTTCTCCGCTGACCCCTGCTGTTTGTTTTTTGAGACAGGGTTTCATTACTCAGTCTAGGCTGGCCTTCATTTTTTTTTAAAAATATATTTAGAACAAGATCTACAAGGTGTACAAGGTCTCATTATGTAGATCGGACTTGCAGTGATTCTCCTGTTTTCAGGAGATTACAGGCGCTGGGATTACATCGTCCTCTCAGCGCACCCCTGTGGGCGGGGCCAGCACGGCAGGCCAGGAATTAAATTCCAGAGGCTACGCTCTGTAGGTGCCTTATTCCGCTCAACTGTCTGGCTGGCCTTCAGGTTGGCCGCCTTCATTTTATTGAGAAACAAATATCAATGAGACAGTTTCAAAGCTGTGTTAATAGGACAGTTTCAATAATTAATATCTTGTACATTGTTATCTTCTTAGTGGTTATCCATAGTACAAGATGCAGACATGATATCCTGTCCAAACACTATTAGTACAAATCTTTCTTCTCATTAAGTGAAAGTAGCTGCATATCTATTGTAGCTATTCTGTATATACAAATACAAAATGGCCCTTCCTTTGTATCCCCTGGCCGCCTTCAACATGTGGCAGTTCTGTCTCAGACTTCTGAGTGTTGTTGGGATTATAGGCATGCACCATCATGTCTGAATAAATACAATTTAATTTTATTCATAAAATATTTTGTTTGACTAGTTCTGGATAGTAAATTTAAGAAAGCATGCCAAGTTGGTTTTTATTTAAATCTCTAGCTTTCCATTTATTTATTTATTTAATGTGTTTAGTACAGGGTCTACAGGGTCTCATTACACAAATTGGACTTGTAGTGATCTTCCTGTTTTCAGCTCCCAAGCGCTGGGATTACTGGTGTGCACCACCACGCCCAGTCTCAGTAGCCCTCTCAGTATGCTCTGAGGGCATGGCCCCCCAGGGATTGAACCCCCGTCACTTCCAGCTTTCCATTTAGTAAAATGATTTGTTCACTGTATGATTTAACAGACGAAGACAAATTAATTTGGGTTTTTTTTTTGTTTGATTTACTTATTACTCAAGAGATATTTTTGAGTAGAACTTTTATGTTAGACATTGTGTTGTGTAACAGGGTTAGAAGGGAAAACCTATAGAAGACTTTACCATTAAAAATAATACAAAACTAGGCACAGTAGCACATGCCTGTAGTCCCAGCTACTTGAGAAGCAGCAGCAAGATGATCACCAGGTGAAGCCCAGCCTGGGCAACTTGCCAAGACCCTGTATTAAAATTTAAAAAAATGAAAAGGTCTAGGGATAAATTAAAAAAATGGTTTTCTGAAAGGTCATGGGGTAGGCCAGGGAGATAGCTTAGTAGAATATGTGCTTGCCTGGCAACTGCAAGGTCCTGAGTTCAATCCCTGGTACCACAAAAAAGGAAAACAAAAGGAAACACAGAATGAAAGGTCGTGGGTTAAATCTCTAGTACTGCAGACAAAAAATAGCACATGTTGTATATTGATAGAGATATTCTTATTTTATCTAGACTAGGGGTGGCTTAACAAATATTATTTATTGAAGGACACCCATGGACACACTCTGAAAAAACCAGCAGGAGGAGTGAATAAAGTGGGGAGGGTGATTTTGATTAGGAGACACAGTCTTAACCAAAAGCAAAGGCAGACAGACTGCAGACTGCAGACGTGGAACAGTAGACTTGACCAGAGCAGTGCAGAAGGAGGGTTATATGCTAGCTATGTTGGAGAGGAGGCAGGTGCCGGCTTATAAAGGATCCTGGAAACTGTACTGAGGAACTGAGGAGATATTTGTTATTTAGCTTTATAGTTAAGTTATAAAATTTTTCCCAGTCAACCTCTGATGTGCAGAGGATACAGAGATGGGCAAAAATCACTGCTTTAAGAGCTCACATGGGGCCGGGGAGATAGCTCAGTAGAATAAGCGCTTACCTGGCAAGCACAGGGTCCTGAGTTCAATCCTTGGTACCACAAAAATTAAGAATTAAAAAAAAAAAAAAAAAAAAAGAGCCCACACGGTCCACAGCTGAAGAAGAATATAAATAGTTATGAATCAAGCCAGAGGGATTAAAGCCCTGGAAATAGCTTATGTAAACTCATGCTATCTGTAGAAATACACACTGTTATAGTAGGAAACAATCAAATTTATTAAAAGGGGATAGGAAAATTGAGCTAAGAGAAGAAGAACCTTGTAGAGTTGGAGTTGTTCTTTTTGATGACACTCAGCATGCCTTGGTGTTTTCTTTACCAAAGTCTAAAGAAGTTTCTAGTTTTATACTTCAAGCAAGTGAGGAAATATGTTTGTTTTAGAGGAATTTGAATTGGTTCATATCTCTTTTGAATATAAATGTTATGATATGTCTTTAGGTGGCTGTTCTTCAACTCTACAAAGGTCAAGAAGTAGAGAAATGGGAGTACTGGGTATAAATTACTTTTGGTATTTCTTCTAGTGGTGAGAGTTTTGTCTTAGGGAATTATCAAGGGCCAGAATAGGTTATTAATAGGAAAAAATAAATTCTCTTATTTGCTTTTATAGTAATGAAAGTTTCACATACAGATTTAAGTAGATAACCCTAAGAAGTCGAATATAAAATCTGCATTCTATCAGGTAACTTGCAAGAAGAGCAGTTTAGTGGTGTCCAGACTTGATCAATCAGCCTGCAGAGAAGAATTAACCACTGATTACATTACATTACATTACATTACATTACATTACAGTAACTTGCAAGAAGAGCAGTTTAGTGGTGTCCAGACTTGATCAATCAACCTGCAGAGAAGAACTAATCACTGATTACATTACAGAGATTAATAAATGTTAGTATTCTCCTTGTTTATATGCCTGTAACACTGCTCTCTCTTTCATTCTTATAGGCAACTGACCACTTGCCACGCTGTGACTCTGGAAACTTTCATGCGAGAGGAATTTCCAAAAATTCAGCACATAGTGATGGACGAGACTGAGAATTTCTGCAGTGAATATGGGGGCTGGTACAAGAAAGCTAAGAACATCACCCACCCTAAGGTGAAGGAGGCTGGAAGTGAAAACCTTCATCGCGGGATCCTCTGGCTTTTCCTGGACCCTTTCCAGGTCCATCATGCAGATGCCAGTGGCCTCCCTCCTCCTTTGGCTCAGTTTCCTAGGAAAATGGTCAAGGGGGTCCACTGTGCTCTGGAAATAGCAAAGATCATGAAAGAAGAAATGAAGAGGGTCAGAGAAAACCCTCCTTCCAACATGTCTCCAGATGCATTAGCGCTGCTCCAGGAGGTTGCCTGTGAGGAAGCAGTGTGTGTCCAGGCTCTGCCTGGGGTATACGAGACCAAGAGTAACCTGACCATAGAACAAATAGCAAATTATGTGGCAGAAAGATGTCATGGTCTCTTCCAGTGTGGCTATATGCCCAAAGATGTGGCAATTTTGTGCAGGAGAGGGGAGGACCAAGGACGTTATAAACTTGCACTGGTAAGAGCAATGGAATTAATTAAGACCCATGGAGCAAAGGAGGTTGTGTTCAGCCAGGCTGCTGGTGTTCAGGGTGATGACATTGTTTTAGACAGTATTCAGCAGTTTTCAGGCCTGTGGAGGAATATTGTGTTTGGGCTCAGTCCAGAAAGTACCCAATCAGAGGAGTTTCATAAGCTCTGGTTTGCCTCAAGAGCCGTTACGCACCTTTACCTACTTTATGAAAAGAGGGCGCCTTCTGAAAGTCATTATGAATAACACAGAAAGGCAGGAAGAGCAGAATGCCTCCTCCCTGACAGATGATCTTCTTACCTGCCACAAGGAGAGAATGAAAGCCTAACAGGATGGCCCAGAGCTGCAGAAATGTCTCCTTGGGCAGATCCTTTGCTTCTAATTCACTTCTCCTCCCTGTATAATTATAGCAAACTCATAATTGGTCCCCTGCTTCCTAGCCCAATCCAGTTTTCATATTGTCATTCGAAAAGCTTGTCCTCGAGTGGAAAATTGATTGCATGTAATTCTTTGCACACATACATCCAGTGCCCCAAACACTCGAACCAAACCAGCTTCCAGGCTTTCTGTGATTGTGCTCTGATGTACTTAGAAGACCACATCTTTGGTGATAACCTCCATCTTCAAGTGTTTCTAATGTACCCAGCCTCACTGGCCTATTTTGTAGGTGGTGGCAGGGTACTCTTCAGTCCAATTCAATATCAAGAGCAGCTCCTTGGCTGGCATATTATACTACCTACAGCTCTTAAATTTTATAGGTCAAGAACTTTATTTCTTCTTTACAACTCTAGATCAGTCTCTCAGGGATGGTTTTTTGCTAACCAAACTCAAAAGCCCACCACATAGGTGAAAAGATCATTCTATAACTTTGCAGTGAAGATTGTGGTACAAAATGGTGACAGGATTTTGCTAATCTGTGCATTCAACCATGCAGGAATCCCAGTTACACAACCAGAGCTTCTCAGTAAAGGAAGCTTATCATCTCATTCCATTGTAAGAAGTCTTTGGGGTATATGAGTAGTATCTATCAGTCATCACAGACCCATTTGACCATGAGGATTTCTTTTCTTTCTTTTTTTTTTTTTTTTATTTATTTATTTATTTATTTATTTATTTATTTATTTTGTGTGTGTGTGTGTGGCCAGCTCAGCCCACCAGGGGGCAGGGGCTGACTGGCATGTGGTGCTGGGGGATTGAACCCTGGTCCCTGTGCTTTGCTTAGCTTGTTCTAAGTAGATGCTTTAGACCACTGTGCCATCTCACCAACCCCAAGGATTTCTTGATCTGCAAAGCTGAGGATCAGATGCTGGTCATACTCCTGACCCATCCGATTTCAGATCATCCCAACACTAATGGCCAGGTCCCCTGGACAAAGTGTTGCATCTTGGCTTCTCCCAGTATAAGCTTGGAGATATTTCCTGGTGATTTCAATATAAAGTCTCCACCATCCTTCCTTCAAATCCTTCCTTATCTCTTAGAAGTATTGGTACGATGTCAGTGCAGATCTCATTAGTTTAGTTATCAAATATAATGAACAGGGCTCCAGGGACAGTATTTTTCTTCTGAATCTGGGTCACCCACAAGAGGAAGGAGGGACCGTGGGCTGCCTTATTGGTGTCTTTAGTTGAAAGAAGGCAAACCTGATTTTGAAACACACAGCATCAATTTTTACCTTTATTTCTTCTTTCATTCTCATCTTCAAAGAAGTGAAGAATGAGGAAGTAAAACATGGCCACTATTACTTTCCCTTATTGTTTCTTACTTTAGAATTATCTTGGCCATTTGCATTTGAAGTTCATGTTCTTCCCTGTTTTTTTTTTTTTTTTTTTTTTTTTTTTTTTTTTTTTTTTTTGTGGAAGCAGGGACTGAACTCAGGCCCTTGCACTTGCTGGGCAAGCGTTTATTCTACTGAGCCATCTCCCTGGCCCCGTTCTTCCCTGTTTTAATCAGTGTAAGCTGTCTTCTTTGCTCAGTTGTATAGCTTGGAAGAGGCAAGTGATGGGGAGGAAACTAGACAAAGAGAGAAGCAAGGACTCTTCTAGCCAGACAGAACTGGCAAATATACCCTGACGATCAATTGGCTAATACATCAAAATACCTCTATAGCTCCATTCCTGCTCCTCTGCTATGTATATAGCTATGTATTTGCTAATATATGTTTATGTATTAGCTAATATATATTTAATGTAGATATACTAGCTATTATGGCTTGTGCTTACATGTCGCCCCCAAAGCCTCATTGTGGTCATGGGCAGGGGTATTCAAACGTGGCTGAATTTAGAGTGTGTAATTGATTCATGGTGCAGTGGTAGGATTAAAGGTGCTAAGATTAAGGCTGAGTGATTAGTAAATCAGTTCACTGATTGGTTTGGCACTACCCTAACCCTGGTAGCCAAACAGAACACAAAAGGTGCAGAAAAAAGCTGTTTGCTTGATTTACAGCCTTCTGCCTGCCATGAACTATTTCTCCTCTGTGACTCCTGTCTGCAATACTACCCTACCTTGGAGCCCCCGAGTTGTGGACTGAAGCCTCTACAAACTGTGAGCCAAATAAACATTTCTCCCCTAACTTTGAGTGTTGGGTAGTTTGTTTTAGTAATGAGAAAAGTAAGAAAGACACTAGCCATGTATATGTATCAGCTAATATACATTTAATGTGTACTATTTGTCAAGACGCTGTGAAAATCATATATATATATATTTGAACTCCAAACCACCCTTTGGATTACCCACCTAAGTTAGGTAGAATAAAGTAGTTTGTGTCCTAGGATCAGGTTAACCCTGGCCTTGAATTCTTGTCTTACTTGTGTGGGTGGGCAAATTACATGATCTCATTAAGATTCCATTTTCTCACTTGAAAAATTTTGTTTTAAAATTTTTTTTATGTTTTCTTGCAGAACCAGGTATTGAACTTGGGCCCTTGTGCTTGCCAGGCAAGCACTTATTCTACTGAGCATCTCCCCAGCTCTCTCACTTGAAAAATTGAGATAAAGGTTTGTAGATATGCCTAGAAACAGAAGTGAAGATTAAAATAAATACTACACTTGAACAAAGTCTATATGTTGGAAACTGTAAATATTGGCCTTTATTAGTTCTAATTATAGTTAAGAAAGCTGTGACTTAAAGGATGAATGCTTTACCCAAGGTCAAAGAACTAGTAAATCCTGAACCTAGGATCAGAATCCAAGTCTAATAT